CCCCCCCCCCCCCCCCCCGTGGTATCTAGCAGGACCTATTTACTCACTCCTTTCTCTACGTCATCGCCTTAACTACTGTCCTTTGCTAGCTCCTATCAGTTGTTGCTGAAACATCAGCTTTCCTGCTGCTTGGCCTGCTGTGTTCATTCAGCTGTACACCTTGTTATCTCAGATTCTCCAGCATCGGCAGTTACTACTACCTATTTGATCTGCCATCTTTTGTTCCCCATTTTTACTTCCTCTGCTTCTGACTGTGCAAATGACCTGCACTTCTCACTAAGTTTTTTTTTAACAATCAGTTGAAATCCCCTGCAAGCTTCCTGGTATTCTGTTTTCTCCTCTTCAATCCTTTGTCTGAAATCTAAACTGCTCCCCATCATCAAGTCTGCCCTTTTTCCTGGCCAAATATGTATAGGCCCTTCTTTTGGAGCAAAAATAGGAACAGTTATCGCACTGTTCCATAAAACTTTCAAATCAATATTGCACACCGGGCAATAACATGTTAAACACGTTTCTCCCTAGCCCACTCAGCTGATCCAATTTAAAGCCAAACAATTGGCTGGCAAACCAATTGGGAGCTTCCTTGAAATGACTAGTAACGTCGCCTGTATGCAAACAAAACCGACCCAAGATTGCAAGAGCGGTGTTTTGGTGTGTCAGATCTTGTTCCATTGGTGGAGTCGATCACCTCAGGCCGTCTCTATCGCCTGATTCATCAAGTGAGCAGGCTGCAATGCTAGTGGCTGTAAAACCGAGCAGGAACATTGCAGAGGGTGTGGGTGGGTGTGTGTTTGGCTGCCTGTGTAGGAGGGAGGGGGACGAATTACCAACAAAATACAAAAACCCGGCCAACACTTCCTGCCAATAAGTCCCTTTGCAGCACTCCCCGCCCCCCCCCCAACTCGTTGCTGCTTTAAACCAAATAGCTCAATGTCCCCAGCACCGCTACAAATGGCTAAAGGAGCACCTCTTTAATTTTGTGCTGCCTTCAAACAGTGTGTGTGTCGTTCTGAAGCAGGTCTCCCCGACCCCTCGGCTGCGACCACACGGTTTTTTTAAATTATTGTGACCAGTCAAGGGTTTAGACTTCCTCGGAAGAGGGTTCTTGTTCTGTGCTGAAGTCAGCAGCAGCTCCAAACCGCTGTGTAAAGTCCTACTATCTCAGAAGAACATGTCCAGTCTCCAGCGCCACATCAGATTGAATAGACTGTCCTGTTTATGCTGATAAACCGACAGCCTTCAAGAGGTAAGACCTGATCGAACACCTTTTTTTTTGCTGTTCAACGGATTTGGACGAAGAAAGATTTTTGTTTTGATTCAAGCGATTTTTAAAGAGCCTTAATGCGTTAAGGTTGTAGTTCGGAGCTGGGTTATGTTATTTACAGGCCCGGAGCACTGCAGATACAGTCTGTGCCTATCGATGTAATTTCACTTGTTAAGGTGACTGATTTGTAACACGGCTTACTCGGCGAGTTTTAAAAGAAATGCTTTTTTTTTGGGGGGGGGGGTGGAAATGGAATTGAAATTTCTGGCTTTTCAGTGTTTAACCTGTTTGTTTGGGGGAGCGAAGCAAGATTTTGTGTTTGTGTAATTTGAATTTTTAAGCTTACTAATTGTAAACACTCGGTAGCTTTTTTTCGCCTCGGGGGCTGAGCCCTGATTTTACTTTGTCTTGACCTCTCTTTTTCCTCACCCCCCACCATCCCCAATCTTCTGGGGGCCTTTATAGAGACTAAAAGGCACGTTCGATGTTTCCAAGCCTTGGGTAACGTGGCTTGAAAAGCAGTTCTAGCAATTGCAATGCAAAAAGATTTCGTTATTTTTCTCCTGTCCTGGCATATCGAAACGAATATATGTTTAACCCTTTTGGTACTGTCTTCTCCGGAACGCTTTTAAATGTTCCGCCTTTCTGCATTATTTTAGTTTTCTTTTTAAGAAAACACAATGGATTCTGCTTTTGCCAATAGTTTAGTTTTGAAGTCAATCAAACATAATGGACCTTTTTTCTAAATTCCATGCTGCAGCAGAGTGACTTCACGAAATTTGTTTTACGTGATAATCTAGGTGAGAACAGAAATTCTGGAAGGATTTATAAAGGGCTGAATGCACATCCCGTCATTCCCTGCTATAGCACTTGCCATAAACCAGGGTTGTAGCAAAATTTTAATTGCCAGTCAGAGAAGCAATGTAGGTCAGCGATACTGACTTCCATGACACTAAACTACTGTAGCAAAGTGATAATGTAACAAGACAAAAATAAGATGCTGGGACTCACGAAATCTGAGACAAAATCTGGAAAGGCTGGAAATGACTTTTTTTTAAAAAAAATTAAATTTTAGTTGAACTTATTTTAATCAAGGGTTCTAATTGTCAGCATTATTTTCAATAAATACAGCACCGCTGCTGAGCCAATGGGCGGGTATCCAGTGGGACTGGAATTGGTATCTTGTATACAGTTCTCTTTAGTGCCTTCTGGATAGACAGTCCTAGGGAACAGTAACAAAATCACGTCATTTTGACCAATCCTTTTGACTACTTTCTTATCCTGAAGATTTGAATATGCATTAGTTTTATTTTAAATCAATTATGGTGCAGATGAGTTTTTTGTTTACTTCAATAGCAACCTTTTGTCAAATATAACAGCATTGTGCTATTTTTAGGTTGGTTATGGTCCAATCAGACTAGTCAATTCAGACTCAAACTTTGAGTGTCATGCAGGATTCTGCCTACTGTTGCCACCATTAATATTGTTTCTTTAGTGTCACTTTTTATTTGCAATTATTGGCATAAACTTCCAATTTTTTTTTTGTCTTCTCTTCCTGGTGAGATGTTTACTTACCTATTGTTAGCTCATAACCCATGACTCCTGCAACTCAAGGTCTGGAGGTACTAGAAATTGTTTAGATGTGACCTTGGATGTGAACATCGTTCTCAGTCAGTAGTTTGCTCAGTGCCATATTGAGATTCCAATTTTCTTCAGTGGAAGACTATTAACCACATTATGTCCATAAAACAGGACCGACCATAAAATGCCTGACTGCTGCCGAACGAGCACCCTTCCTGTTATCTGGAATTCATGATGTGGTGGTGCCAGTCTTGGACTGGGTGGACAAAGTCAGAAGTCCCATGAAGCCAGGTTAGAGTCCAACAGGCTTAGTTGAAATCACAAACTTTTGGAGCGATGCTCATTTGTCACTTTGCTCCTTCGTCAGGTGAAGTGACAAATGAGCATCGCTCCAAAAGTTTGTGATTTCAGATAAACCTATTGGACTCTAAAAGGGTCTAGGCCCGAAACGTCAGCCTCTCTGCTCCTATGATGCTGCTTGGCCTGCTGTGTTCATCCAGCCCTGCACCTTGTTGTCTTGGACTCTAACCTGGTGTTGTTTTCTGATGTATCTGGAGTAGTAAAAGTCTACCTGACCTTGAAGATATCCTAATCTTAGGATTTGGAAAAAAAACTGTCATATAATTCTGAAATTTGTGTAATTTCAAACTACTGAATTGAAATGGTTATGATCAGCCATAGAATTTGAAAAATGTTTTATATAGACAGACTGAGTTACAGTATAGAAATGTAAGCACTAATTGTGCCTAAACGCTGATCCCAAAAGTGGCCATTCCCAATTAGTGAACATTCCCTTCTAATCACTGGGGACTTTGAGTTGTTCAGTGATCCTGTTAGCCTCTGGCCTGCTCAGAGGTCAGCTGACAAGAATCTTGCAATGAGTAACTTACTCCACAATGCCCACCTCCCCCCCAAACAAAAAAAAACCATCTACAAGGCACCAGTCACGAGTGGATCGGGAAACTCCCCACTTGCCTGGATCAGTGTAGATGCCACCCAGCTAAAGCAGCTCACATGATTCGGCGCTCTGTCCACCACTGGGAACATGCACTTCATTCATAACCAGCACAGTGGGAATATACCATCTACAATTGACATCATCAAGATGCAGTAAAATAACTATAACAAGGGGAGGTGATGGCCAAGTGATATTTATCGCTGGACTGTTGATCCAGAGACCCAGATAACATTCTGGGGACCCAGGTTCAAATCCTGCCACAGCAATGGTGGAATTTGAATCCAATAAATACCTAGAATTAAGAATCTAATAATGACTGTGACTCCATTGTTGACAAAGACCCACCTGGTTCACTCATGTCCTTTAGGGAAGGAAACTGCTGTGGGTCTGGAGTCACATGTAGGCCAGACCAGGTAAGGATGGCCAAGTGGTTGACTCTGAACTGTCCTCTGCCCAATTAGGGTTTGGCAAGAAATGCTACCTAGCCAGTGGCACCCACCTCCTGTGAACAAATTAAAAAAGAGACTAACTTTTAGTAAGGTCCCTTCAACAGCATCTTTCAACTCCCTGCTTTAATTAATGAGGAGGCTAAGAGAGAAGCAGATGCATGGCAACTTGAGTTTCATTTCCTTAAGCCTCTCTTGCCTGTCTCCCTTCCTAACTAGGAACTGCATCACCATTCCTTCAGTGGCTGGACTGAAATTCTGTATCTCCCCTTCTAGCAACATTGTAGGTGTACCTATGCCCTAAGGACTGCAATTCCAGAAGACTGCTCGCTGTAACCATCTCCCAGGACAATTGGAGATGAACAGCAAATGTTGGCTTAACCAGCATCCCCCACATTCAATGCATGAATTTATTACAAAGGAAGTCCTTTCATTTCTGACAAAAAGTAACTTCAAAAATATTCTTGTTATAAAGCTGTGCTTTTGATTTGAAGAATATTACCCAGATTTCCAGTACAGTGCTATTGCCTCTAATTTGAAAATTACCTTTTTTGCGTTGTCTTTACAATGCAATTATCTACCAATGTTTTGGACAGCTGTTCTGATTCGTTATGAAAAGGTTGCTGAGATTTCAGTCTGTTTGATGGCGATAAATCTGGAGGTATGCAATTTAGTGTCCTAATAGAGAGCCCTTCAGTCAAAAACTGAGTTGTTATAGGGAGATGTTTTTTTTCGTGTGTGTGTACAACAGAGTCAAATGGAAAGGAAGTTTATCAAAATAAAACTTTTAAAACAAGAATACTAATTCAAAAGAACATGAAATCTACATTTAGTCTCAGACTTTTTTTTCTCAAGCTAACTTTCTGTTGTAACGTAGTACTTTTTTGTCCTGCAACAAGCATCTACAGGCTGGAAGATGTTAGAATTTGAGATTTTATCTTTTGTAGAACGAGCCCAAGATCATAAGCAGTTGTCAAAAGCATTCCATTAGTGAGAGGTAGTTGTAATCTGATATACAGATCTTTCAAAGAAGGTAAGAAAGTCAGTTGAAACATGATCAAATATCTGCATAGCAGAGCTTTTCAGAAAATAAGTGACGTCTTTGAATAGGCAAACAATAGTGAAAAAGTCTCACTTTGGGATATGAAGTTTTCAATCTGAGCAGGAAGGGAAAATAATAAAATGGAAGGCAGAGAAAAGCTGAATGAAGACAGTCAAAACAAAATTGGTTTGTCTGATAAAATGAGTTTGAAATGTCGTGTGGAGGCAACAGGGGTCTTATCCACAGGCTTGAAAACCTGCACTGCTCCTTTTCAAGAAGGCCTCGTGCACCTTGTGATGTTTAGGTATTTACCAGAGCAGTAAATGGGCTTTCCACTTTGTCCAGGATCAATGACTGGGAAGCCTTACTCTGAGCTTTTGGTCTCATCAGAGGCTAGTATCTGTTCTGTACACTGAAGTGTCATTGGAAGGATGTGGATGTTGCAGGTACAACATCCACCCACAGCCTCTGAGCACGACTACAGATGGAGGGAGAGGTAGAGGCACCATGGACGAGAGCAGTTTTTTTTTGTGGCTGACCCCACCCTAACACCATCCCACTGCTGGGCCCTTCTCATGGGTGGATTGAGGGACCTAATCTCTCTGCTTCCATCTCACCTGGAGGCCACAAACAACAAAAGCAAGGGTTTGCTTGTTGTACTCTGGCATTGCAAACCACATCGATTGTAGGATCATTCAGTGGATGAACACTTAAATGGGCATTATTGGCCACTTAAGGCTTGAGTGGGCCAGCAGGGTTGTCTACCAGCATTACTGCCCCAGACTTGATTTGAGGAAGGTGGTGGGATGGCCCCCACCAAACGTGACACGGAAGGTAGAAGATTTCACCCTGTAACCATGGTTTCCTCCATAGTTGCTGCCTAACCTCCAGAGTATTTCCAGCATTGTTTACACTGGTTTCCTTTGTCAAAACAAAATAAGAATGTTGCGGACAAGGTCCATATCGATCCAAGAGTTTTTTTTTAAAAACTTGCAAGGAGCCAATAGAATTGAATTAATGTCCCTTCTGTATTAGAAAGAGCAATTAACCTGCTGCGACACTCATTAGGAATGTTGGGAAGGATACCAACAAAAAGACCCCATTTTTGTTTTATTGCAATGTTTGTTGTATGTGGGTCAGAAAGGGTTAATACTGAAGGGGACCTTAAGCACCACCCCCCCACTACAATAATATCAGTCTTTTGGTAACTGAGGAGTAGTGATCTGGTCTCTCTTCTTGAATCTGGAATATCTTGCAACTTGGATCAACTTGTAACTAGCTGCAAACGTGCAATAAGCTAAACCCTTCGATATAAGGGAACCTCTTGTAGTTAGACTAAAAAATAGTTTTCCTCCATATTAGACCAAGCAGGCCCCCTTGATCCCTACACACTGGGGATGGTGGCAGCAAACCAACACCATTGAGGTACAGACTCTGTTTAGATACACAAACAATAGTGGCCTGTTGGGACTCTGAGAAGGGTGACTGAGACATTAGTAAAATAATCATTTGGCAATATTAATAGTAAACTACTGGGGAAATAAGATGCACCAAGGGTCCTGGATCACTGTCTGTAGCAAATTGAGGCGTTTGTTTGAAGGAAAAGGTTCAGTGGTTTAAATGCTCTTCCCCATTTTTTGTTACTTTCTTTTCTCTCTGCATCTGCCTCTGCATCTGTTAGAATATCAATTGGATTTTGTTATTGTGACAACTAGAACATAATTCGATCAATGCAGTGACAAAATCCAGAAATTGCCTATCTCCTCTGAAATAAATTTTGTGGTGTCCAGCATTTCCCATTTTAGTTTCTTGATTCATTTAGTTATAAGGGTTTAGAATTTGGTGAAGACTTATTACTAACAGGATGAAATTAGTTCTGTTTTTAGTTTTAACAATGTTTTTAAATGCTACAGCATTATCTAGGAAATTAATCAAACTGAAATAAATCATTTGCTGGTTTTTTTTAAATGTTCAATTCACATTTTTCTAAGTATTTCTGGTGTAGTCATTGTTTCCTTTTTAGGGAGAGGGAAGGTTTGGGGAAACGTCTTCCCTTGAATTATAGCAAGTTAAGATAATTATTTCTTTTCCTTTTATCCTTCATGCAAAAAAACACTTTTCACAAAATGATGTGAATTTTCCATGGAAAAGTACAAATCCCTAGAGGGGCTTAGCTGTCATGAATTTTAGAGTGAGATGCAAGCTCTTGAATATAATGGTTCTTCTTTTTAAAATCAAATATCAAAATCTCCATTGTTTAAAACTGTGAATTTGAATCTTGTTTGTTCTTTTCCTTTTTTTTGACCTTGGTTTTTCTCTAATCTCAATTTGTTTGATCTACTTGATTGAACTTTTTAATTAGCATGGAGAGAATTATAAACATTCCTTTTTTTTTAAAAAGACGCAGACCATGAATTACGTTGGGCAACTGGCTGGGCAGGTGTTTGTCACCGTGAAAGAGCTTTACAAGGGATTGAATCCTGCAACTCTATCGGGGTGTATTGATATCATTGTAGTCCAACAGCCAGATGGAAGTCTTCAGTGCTCTCCATTCCATGTTCGCTTTGGAAAACTCGGTGTGCTCCGCTCCAGAGAAAAAGTGGTAAGTAAGCTATAGCCTTTTGACTGATAAGGCCAAGCAATTCTATTGTACTTGGGGTTTCATCCTTGGTTTGCTGCATCTGTAAGTGTTGGGATATGGATGGCAAAATTAGATTATTGAATTGTCCTTTAGCTGTTGGAGTTTAGAGTCCAGACCAATTTGAATGATAGTCTGCATTTTTTCACTTTTGGCTTGAGGGCAAAAGAAATGAATTTGGGGGTGTCAAATCCATTCGCAAGCCTTAGCACAGCAAACCTGGCACAAAGTAGGTTGTCTGAGAGGTTGTAAAGATGGTTTTTTTTTATAGGCAGGGAAAGGCAGGGCTTTAATAAATTTGGGGTTGAGGTACATATTGGGCTGCTTTGATTAGTGATGTTAGAAGTCATTTTCTGACTTCACTCTTGTGTTAAGGTACCCAACCTGCTGGAGTATTAGATTCTAAACATGTGACTATTTACCTTGATGCATTGCACCAAGTCATGTGCAATGACCTGGATTTCTGATGGGGAAATGGATATTGAAAGTTGAAGTTTTCTGATGCTGTGATCCTATCTTTGTCTTGGAGAAACCCACCCGCCTTATTCTCCATCTTAGGCTGAGGCAGCCAGATGGAAAGGTTGTCACTTTTAATCCACCTGCACTTTATTGGGTAAATCAACCCAATTACATTAAAGGTTATTAGGCCTCTTGCCTACCCCCATTAATTCCATGTTCCTTAAGTCCCATGTCAACTCATCCAGTATTCCTGACTAATTTAATAACGCTGACAAGGCTTTGAAATACCCTTGCAATTTTAAAAATCATTTTCAAATGTTAAAGCTTTCAATCAAACAGGCAGTGGAAGTTCCATTTGAAGGAAACCTTTTTTACATCACTAATTACTTTTGTCAAAATAAGTGCTCAAGTATTGAAATATCACTTCAAAAAGAGATGGAGTTTGTACAAAGTATTAAATCTGTCAAAACTACCTGTCTCCTTTTTTCAACTGTGTAAACTGACGTGTTGAGCCGATTCATCATTCTTGAGGCTCAAACAATCATTTGTAATATCATCTGACAACAGATAGCTGCTTATTTGTCGAGCCTGTTACTTTGTTTAAATTTTGATAGAAACTGGAAGGCGGGGGGGAAGTGTGCAGATATCTTGGAATTGGATTCATCCTGTCCTTTGAAAGCTCTAAGGTTTTTCTCCAAAGTTTAATGTTTTGCAATTTGGTGAATAACTAGACAATCGCTTATTCATTATCATGAAACATTCACCACAATGAGGATTGAAATTAACTAAATGACAGCTGACGGACTTGTTTATTATTGATCACTAGATTCCTCCCAAGAAGTGTTTTTCTTTCATTTACCAGCATGTTGCTGGGTAAAGAAGGTTTGAGTTAAAAAGAAAGATGACTTTTCTCCTCTCTCTGGAGCACAAGAGGTTGCGAGGGGACCTGATAAACATTAAGAATAAGGGTATAGGTAGGGTTAATGGTAATTGTCCATGTGTGTCTGTCCCCCACGGATGGGGGATTTCACGAGTAGGGGGTGCGTCTTTAAGGTGAGAGAAGAGAGATTTAGAAACAACATAAGGGTAAATTTTCTTACTGTGTACAACATTGAAAAGACAGTCAGATAAACACACAAATAGGAAAGGTTTGCAGGGATATGGGCCAGGAGCAGGCGAGTGGGCCTAGGTTAGTTTGTAATTGTGTTCAGCATGGACTAGTTGGACCGAAGGGTCTGTTTCCGTGCTGTGAGACTCCATAATGCTTGTTTTGCACATCCTTTTTGTTGTTGTTTATGCCTCTATCATTTTAATACCAATAGTTATTGATTTTAATGACGACAGATTAGACAATGGCAACAGTTCTGAGGTGGATATAATCTTTGGTAAGGCAGAGGATGAAAGGCTATCAAAGCAGAAATGTAGACTTGAGGTTGGAATAAGATCAATCATGATTGTGATCAATGGCAAAGCAGTTTTGACTGATCTACTTTTTTGTTTAAAACAAGCATTTTTCTTTGAGGATAATGTCAGCAAGGTATCCAAATCCTCCACTCCTTTCACAATTTGGAGCTGTATTGGTTTCTCGTGTGAGCCAAGAGTTAAGTGAGTGGGTGAGATCTGTCTGAAGTCCCTGCTATTAATTCACTCTGCTATTTTGAGCCCTACAGGAACAGAGTTTCAGTAGGATTTTAGTTTAACACTGCTCTCTAAGAGATTTCCCAGAAGTGTTATGCACCAAAATTGAGCTTTTTAGCAGTCTGCATTTAGTTATTTACCAGTTAATGCTACAAGTTGTATTCGTGTAGAACAACTTGGGCCACTACAAAATAAACAAATCCAAACGTCTGTGTGTCTAAGGCAATTATATCACTTACCACCAGTTTTAAAATTCTTCAGAACTTAATAGATCGGATTCTCCTCAGTGTTGGATTGTTATGGTGGTCTAATTTTGTGAATGCCCAGAAATAAACTAGATAGTTTACCATGCAAAATCTTTTGACATTGAATACCATGAGGTGCTGAGTTGGAAGTGCCATACAGAGTACAACTTACTTTTAGCAAAAATATAAATCATCTATGTGCAGTGAGGCGTGCTGTTTAAGTTGTGGATCAGCTTGACTTGTCAATAAGCAGTGACATCCTGGACTTTCTGATTTTCTATTAACACTAATGCTGCACCTTGGGTTAATGTGTTGGTCAACAGACCACGTATGTAATAAAATTGAAGCGCTGCTCAAAATTTGCTATTTTAAGTTTTGAAGTATTTTCTGCCCCAAGAGAACACAACCTAATAAAGTGAACAAAAATATTTTACTTTTATGGCCATGCTTGGTGAAACCTGAAATAATTCCTCACTTGTTAATTTTACTGTGTATCAAGACCATTTATACTACTTGTTCAAGCAGTATGGGGAGTTTACAGATGAGATGGATCCAGGGGATATGTACGGAGTGCGATTTGGTCAGTAACAAGCAGCTGATTGGTCTATGGAGTAGTGACCAGTTGGTGGTGACCCAGGCCTTCTGCCTGCTATTGACTGATTTGCTCCCAAGTACCTGAGCTGCCTGTGTGTGAACAGTAAGTTCAAACTTTTTCAGATCTTGGGAAAGGGAGGTGCATTTTTGCTCTTAGTTTAAAACTGTTTTGAAGCCATTTGATTTTCCCTTGAATTGCTGTAAGCTGTGGCCTTTAATCAAAATGTCAGACTTGATAAATTTGTGAACCAGTTGCACTGTGCTTCCTCCAAGCAGGTGAAACTAGGTGGAGAAGAGAGATCAAAGAGCACCAAGTCCTGACTGACAAACAAACCCATTTGAATGGCTTGACAAGCCTTTCCCTCCACCCATAACATCAATGGTGGTTTTTCTGTCTCTACATGTGCACGTTGGGAGGCTTGACTTGGGTTGAGAGTTTTTTCTTAGCAATTAGTTGTTGTATGTCAACAGTACATAACTTTTTTTGCCTGTAGCTAAAATCACTTTATTTGTAATAAAAGTAATTTTTGCCAAGACCAGAAACCTGATCGATGCATTCTATTAACCTGGACCTAAAAGATAGGTAAATTGGGGGTAGCAAAAACAAATTCCGGGAAAAGCTCAGCAGGTTTGGCAGCATCTGTGGAGAGAAATCATCAGAGTTAACATTTTTTGGGTCCAGTGACCCTTCTACAGAACTACAGGATTTTGCATACTTTGATACAAACTTTAACACTTTTGTGATAACCCAAGGACTAGTGGGACTTGACTAGTGAGGTGTGATGTGTGCAATAATGGACATAGATTTTGATCCATCTTGTATACTTAACAATGAATTGGTTTAGAGTATAGCATTAATGCTATAATGGTCAAACCTTGGACCAATAAGTGAGATGTTTTTCTTTGCTTTTAGACCTTGTTGCTGTATTCCAAATTGTAGAGATAATGATCTACATTTCAGATCCTATTCATTAATGAGGTTATCTCCAGCACTTTTGAAGTGCAAAACCAGTTGTTCAGACCCACAGTACTAGCCATAGATGGCTAGTTTGTGAAGTAATGGCAATACAAATTTGTCAATATGGATTTGTCTTGTATGTTTTTTAGGTGGATATAGAAATCAATGGAGAACCTGTGCAATTACAGATGAAACTTGGAGACAATGGCGAAGCATTTTTTGTTCAAGAAACAACAGATAAAAAGGCAAGTTCAAATTTTAGCTTCTTAAATACAGATCCTAATTAGACTTTGACAATCAAGGCAAGCAGTAAATGATTGTTGCTGGAACTATTCAGCTTGCCCTTGTGTGGTATTGATTTTTTAAAATCCATAGCTGCACTTTAATAAACTAGAGAATACATCTGCACTATAGACCATATTTATTTTACCTAAATGCTGCTCATGCACTTTCCTCCAACTCACTCACTGGCTGAATTTCTAGGCTGCATTCGATATATTTCTAGGGAGGCTCTGCAAAATCCCTGTCTTTCCTATAAAGATGCTTTATGCATGCCCAGAGAGAGTTCGAGAAGCTGAATGACCACACTTTATCTCCTCTCACCCAGCACAACTCGTGAGACAAGGGGAGCTCAAAATGTTACAAATAGAAACCCCCAAGATCTAGCACTGAAAAAAGATTAGAGATGGGAATGGAGGGGATTCAAGGAGGGATTTGCAAGTGTTTGAATTGGATAAAGTCAGACGTGCATGTGTTTTGAGGCAGATTGGATTCTTTCTTTGTTTTAAACTTCCTTCTTTTGGGTTTAAAATTACTGCCAATGTCTCATGTTTATTTAATACTACATTCCTGAAATCAGTAATTATTCTGCCTTCGGATCCATCAACTATTAAGTAATATTGTCACGACAGAAGGCTGACTTACCCATGGAATTACCAACAACTAAGAAAATCCAGTCAGTCCCATTTTCCGTGCTCTTTAAGTCCCTATCCTATTTCTTTTTGAAATCATTCTCTGCACTTTCCCTGTAGCACCAACTTCCATTTGTGGCTAATTTCTGGTCACCCTCAACCAACGTCTGTCTCTTTCCCATGGTCATGTCCACTTAATCCTGTACCATTTTCTAATGGGAGCATCTTTTCTTCATCTACATAATGAAATTCTGACATTCTTGCATCCCTCCATATAACTTGTGCTCCAAGGAGAAGGACCCCAATCTCTCCAACCTTGCTTTGGAACTGCAACCCCTTAATTTGAGAACCACTCCGGAAAGTCGTCTTTTTTATACTTTTTTTTTTTTGGTGAAGATCTTCACATCCCTTCCCTTGGCTGGTTAACTAGAGCTGGATGCAGGGTGCCAGTTGTGACCAGATCTGTGACGGTTCAGTGTATTTCCTTGCTCATACACTCCATACATCTGGTTATGAAGTGCAAGATCCCATGTCGTTTACTCACCACAGCTGCTCCCTTGAAAGAGCTATACTTGTGGACCCCAGCTCCCTCTGTCCTTGTGCACTTCCTGCATTTGCTTCATTACATTCGGCTTGGCAGTAGATGTGGCTTGTTCCTCTTTTTGTATCAAGCATGTTAGCTTACCAGTCAAATTCTCAAACATCAGTCAACATTTAAGTTCATCATCCACCTTCCATAGTGACACACTACTTCTTATTTGTCTTCTGTACACCTGCGTGGTAAGGAAGGAAACACTTTTAGTTCTTCACTGATTTTACTTCCAAACCCATGCCCCCCCAAAAAATCTGTCTCTTCTATGGAAACCTCTAAGTTTTTATAGCTTGCCATTAAATCATAAAATACTATGGGGAAAGAAAAATCATTTTAATCTGTCAAGACTGCTGGCTATTTTTGAAGAGCAATTCCATTAGTCGCACTCGGTTTGGATTCTTGCATTTCTTTCTTTCTATCCCACCCTTTTGGAAGTTACAATTTAATTTTCCTCTACTTATCCTGCCCCCACCCCCACCGTAAATTCCAGATATTATTTGACTCACTGCTGAAGTTATTTCTCTTCTCATCACTTCTGTTTCTCTTGCCAATTTTCCTTTTTTAAAAAATCTATCAGCTTTGGTCACCAGTCCATCTGCCATTGGAAACGGTTTCTCTTGTTACTCTGTCTAAATTTTGACCAGCTCTATCAAACTTTTCCTCAAACTACAATGCTGGAAGGAGAACACCACCTCCAGCTTTTCCAGTCTTCATGTCACTAAAGTCTTTCATCCCTTATACCATTCCAGTTAATCTCCCCTGTTTTGACATCTCTACTGGAATGTGGGGGCTAACCAGTGTTTTATGAAGGTATAGCATATCCTTCCTGTTTATGAACTCCATACCTTTTGTTTGTTAAATCAAGGATACTGTTTGAATTTTTATCAGCCTTTTTGAACTGTTCTGTAGCTTTGTAAATATTTGTGCATATGCTCGTGTGTGCCTGCTCCCTTCTAAAATTGTACCATTTCTAGATAGTTTGTATCTTTTTGTCCACATTCTAACCAAAATGAGTTACTATTGCATCTGTATTTAATTTCATTGGCTGTGTGTGTGTGTGTGTGTGTGTGTGGCTGTCGATCCCAGTCTTTAAGAGTTGAATATAACTTTTACCCTTTGGCTTTGACAGGAAGTGGGTCAGCATGGTTAGGCTGGTGGATAAACTGCATGCATTATGATATGGCCGACTGATCTTTATAAATTTTGAGGGTATAGACCAGCTCGCGTGAATGACGCTGAGAAATTTGCCTCTTGTGACGACAATTTAGATAATTATGGGAGTCATGTAATGAGTTCCGGTAAAAGTGAGCAATAGTCATGAGGAAAGGACGCAGCTTTGTGGTGAGTAAGGTATGAAGAAGCAAATGAACAGGCTGAGTATCTCTGGCTAATGTACATTTCAAATTGTGTAATTAAACAAGTTTGGGATAGTCATGGATCACCTGCACCAATATTGAATCAAGTGTTCCCCAATCGCTGAGGAAGGAAAAACAGCAGATGCATTTTTTGAATTTCTTTTCTAACATTTATGAAGCTGTCGATCACTTAGCCTACAATTGACAAATAGTTGATTCTACTTCATTTGAGTTAGAGAAATGAGTCCACTTAATGCTGAAGTTGCAGTATATAAACTACAGACCTATTTATCTTAGACAAAAAGAGAAGGAAATGGCATTTGCTGCTTTTATTCAAAAAAATTGACCTTGTTTCCTTGCCTGAGGTGTCCCTTGTATCACGGAGACACAACTTCCTTGTTATTCAGTAATTTCAGATCTGAATCTTGCAGTTGCCCCTCAGTTAAATAATTTGAGGATACTGTGACTCTGGGAGCAACTTGGATAATTTAGAAAACTCCAAAATAGCAGCTTAAGTATGAAGTGAGTGTAAACATGGAAGAGTGACCAGAAGTGAAGGTTGCACACAAAGGTGAGAAAAATGTAGTAATGCAAAACGCTGCAATCCTTCAATTCCAGAGCTGGTTAACTGGCTGTGAGGACACTTTGAAACAGGGGAGTATCTTACTGCAGCTATAACTCCATGTTGGACTGTGATGAAGCTCGATAACAAGTAGTGCTGAGGGATACAACAAGGCTGTGGGGGTGGAAAATGGACCACAACTGTTGAGTTGGTAAGAGGGGCAAGTGAAGTTTAAGTTGGAATACCTACTTCCAGGGAGTAGAAAGTACAGTATGGAAGGCTTTCTTCAGCAATCATTCAGGATTAAGGATGGGTTTTCTGCCCATTCCAGAGTTGTGGGTCCTGAGGTGACCCTTGCCCACCTGGAGACAGCAGGCTGTCTGGGTTTTGGCACCTGTTTTGCTATCTGTACATGGCCTCCTCCAGCTGGATCTGTTGGAAACACAAATGTTGGTACCTTCTGCCAATGTTGGTTTAGTTTGGGCAATCCTGGGCAGGGGGTTTCCCACATGTTAGTGGGGATGTTGCATTGTCTTTTCTTCTAAATTGGGACTTTTTGTTTTGAGGACCTCCTTGGAACACTTGGTCTGCCCTCCATGCTCCTCATGATGAATGAGTAGAAGAGTCTGGTCAGGTGTGTTACCAGTGTGACCCACCCACTGCAGATGATTGACTGCAACCAGTGCCCTGGCACTAAGTGTTGTATTGTGTGAGGGCACTGACTGGCATGGCTATCCTGCCAGTCGATTTGCAGGATTCTGAAAGGCATTTCTAGTGATGCTTCCTTTAATCTGAAAAGTCTGCACTATTGTCCATGTCTCTAACATACACAGAAGGGTGGCTGATTCTGCCATCCTATTGACCATGAGCTTGGTACCAGATTTGACGACTTGCCATCAAATAATATTTCTCGGGCAGCCAAGCGCAGCCTCCAGTTTGCCAGGGAGAGGAGATTCCCAAGGTATGATTATTTATGTTGTCCAGTAGCTGACTGTGGAACTTCATCTTTTTTTAAATATCTGGATGTTTAGCCCTAATAGAATGCGTTCCCTGATTGGGAGCAAAAACAGAAATTGCTGGAAAAGCTCAGCAGATCTGGCAGCGTCTCTAGAGAGAAATCAGTTGATGTTTTATGTTGTGACCCTTCCTCAGAGCTGCTGGTAGCCAGGAAAATGTTGGTTTGTATGCAGAAGATAGTTTTGGGGAGGGAGGATAGGAGTAAATGATAGGTGGGGATAGGTAGAACCAAATGGAAGACCTCATAGAAGCATCCTTCCTCCAAACATGGGCACCTGCCTACTTGACTACATCATGATATGGACATCCTGGAGACCTCACCCTGGCTATGAAAGGAGCTGATCACTGCTGGACTGACCTGCCCAGGTTGATTATCTATCTCAAGTAGCCTGGCTTAAACATAAGTGGTAGTGAAACACCATGGGAAATTTGACAGACTCCAACTCTGAAGACCAGACTAATTCAGCGCCACACGTTAAAGCTGGGAATTCCTCGATGAACTGGAAACAGAATATCCCTAGTGCCCAGTCTTGCTGTCGATCCATTATCAACAGCACTTGTCAGGAGACTCTTG